CTAGCCCATAACCATCTTAAATTACCATAAAGTTCATTTTCTTTATTGATATATCTTCATATTTGTGACTGAAATGTGATTTTGTACTAAGTTTATATACATATAAATTTTCCTTTCAATGTTATACTTTGGGGAAGGAAAATTTCACTAATTATATACACACATACTATGTTTGTGTGTATGTATATGGGTATGTGTATGTATGCGTAATATATGTGTGTGTATATATATATATGTATCTGCATATGTGCATGTGTGTATTCAAAATTAATTAAGGAAGGTTCACGACAAGTATATAATTCTTTGTCTTGAAGAAGCTTTGGTACATCTATTTTAATATATTGTTTTGTAGGGCTATATAATAATTTTATTTGAACAAAAAATGAATAAAATAGTTTATGATTATCTTATGATTATTATTTGACAATACTTTAGTGCTGAAAAAGTATGGGAAGATACAAAATGTCTGTTGTCAGGTATAACTTTAGTTATCTATTTTATTGAATTCTGACATTGATTCATAGAATATTGTTAATCTTCTCTCATTTGATTCAGAATTGCCTCTCTAAGTGGCTTATAGCCCCCCCTCCACAGGCTCCCTACATGTTTCTTCCATTGATCCTTAACACATGAAATGCAATAAGTGATATGAATATAAAAATCAATTACTGGATTACATTTTTGATCACTCATTAATGCATGGTTATAGAAAATAAAAGTATGAAATTTCTTACCAGGGACCACTTCTGGTGTGGTTGCTGTGGTAGTTGTTTTGATACCAGGTTGAGCTGGAGTAGGTGGAGCTAAAAAAAACGGGTCAGAACATATTTTGAGATAATAACAATGAAGCCAGGCATGAAATAAAGTGTATAAAGTAAGGGAACTACCTTACTCCCCAGCATGACACTGTTGATGATATCTTTAGTAGTAAAGTGGTTATATATGTCCACTTACTAACGAAGTATTTTGCACACTAGACATTTACAATGTTTATAATATGAAACAGCCTCTGTCATGACTTAATGAAGTCTTTTTTTCCTCAGTGATGTATCCTCAAACTACAATGGCTACAGTAGCCTATGAGTTAATAGCCATAGCCTTGGAGCCAATAGTTTCACTGAACTTCTATATGTAGAAAGATCAACACTGAAAAAGCTATTTTTTTAAAAAAAAAAAATCCAATTGGAAGTTATTGATGCATAATAGTTGATTAGAAAGTTTCAATTTTGGAATGGAAAAAAAAGAAGTTGGTTATTCATTAAGACTCTTCAATAAGACCTGTTCATAAAGAAAATAAATTTAAATATCACTCCTATTGATTTATTTTTCATATTACTCTTCTATTTATCCAGTCATATGTTTCAGTGAATAATGAACAAAAACTAGAATAACTGTCCCTTTATCAGATTTAGAATCATCTTCATCACATGATCTTGATTCTATGCCTCTGTTTATACAACCCAGGATTGTATTAGCTTTTTTAGTGGCGGCTGGACACTGCTTACTCATATTCAAGTATCTTTTGTAGTAATCTGCTTATACATATCACTTAGTTACTAAGGAAAGATCTTTGCATACTAAAGATTTAAATGTTTATAATATGAAACAACCACTGTCATGACTCAATGAAGTCTTTTTTCCTCAATGATCTATCCTCTTATCAGTGATGGCTGGATTAGTCTTTGAGATGACAGCCACAGGTATGGAGCCAATACTTTCCCTGAACTTCTAGATGTAGAAAGGCTAATGTTAATTAAGCTAATTATTATTATTATTTTTAAAAAAGAAATCCAGTTGGAAGTTATGAAACCTATCATTGATGCATGTAAGTTTATTAGAAAGTTTCAGGTTTGGAATGGAAAAAAGAAGTTGGCTGCTCACCAAAAGTTGTTTCCCTCAAACCTGTGCATAAAGAAAGGATATTTAAATGACACTGTGTTGATTTTATCGTTCTTCCATTTATCCAGTCATATATTTCAGTGAATAATTTATAAAAACTAGAATAACTGTCTATTAGATTTAGAATCATCGTCATCATCTATTTACAGTCAGAAATCAGCTCTCTGTAGATAATACATATAACTACAGAGAACACCAAAAAGGTAATAAACAAATCCTATTTTTTTCTGATCGAATTAACTGTTCCTATACATACACAATATATCCACACACACATGCACATACTTTTAAAGCCTGTTTTTAAGGGGGAACCTAGATTACTAATTCCTAAAAAGCAACGGCTAGGGGGAAAATCTACCTTTCTAGAAATTTCTGGAGACAAGTGTGCTCCCATGGAGAGCTTTCTCCTGTTCTGACCTACTCATGGAATTTGACAATCAGTAATTAGCCAATTATCAAATAGCCAATTACCAAGTCATTTAGAATGGGCAGCATATGAGACATGTGTGGCTGTCTCTCCCAAAAGGAAGAGGCATATTCAATATTTCATGTATTTATGTCTTTCTTAACACGCATGGAAAAACACTTGGTTGCTTCCAGGAAAATGCCAAACCAACGAGGGATATCTTCACATAGAAGCAAGGTTTGATGCTTTTCCAGATCCACCCATGCATTGACATAACAAGAGAACCAAATGCAATTCATATCCAGCAAACAATAAAGAAAAGTAAAATGAAGGTTGACTCAGCCTTCCATCCTACAAGATTGTAAAATGAGGACCCAGATTGTTGAGGGCAATATGCAAATAATGCTGACTTTTCTAAACCTCCCAGAGAGTGCTGTAAAACACTATGGGGTGGTACTATTGTTATTGCTAAAGAAAAAAATACTTTTTCACTACTGAATATTGCATTAATATTCTGTGGTTTAATATCCAACTAACTGTTTCTGATTTTGAGGTAAGAAATACTCTGGGACAGGGGTAATCTGGCTCAGGAATTCTGGGAGTTGACATCCACGAGTCATAAAAGAGCCACGTTTGCCTACCCCTGCTCTAAGATTTCTTCTATAAGGGTGTTTTTTTTAATCAGTTATTTAAATCACTCACACAGAATAGCTGACCAGAAAAAGTTGGCTTTAAGACATGAAAAGGAGGTTATGGAACTTACCACTTGTTTCTTCAAGATGAACTGTTCAAAAAATAAAATTAAATAAAATTATATGTAAATGATATTACTCATATTAATTGTCGATACTATTATAACCAGTCATTAAAATCTGGTGTGATTACAACTAAAATGTGATAGTGAACTGAATTTTCTCAAAGCCATCATGAGGGTCAGTGTAAAGGCAGAATGGAAGGAAGGAGAGAATAATAAAATAACAAAGGCAGTAATATGGTCACTTACATTCCCCAGTTTAGAACATTCCCACCAAATAATACACCACACTTTCCATATGTGATTTTGTTTTGGGATTGGAATAATGAAAAATGATTGATCCTGAAATAGACATCTCAGCACATATACCTGCACAGTAATGTACAACTGAATGCTTGGCAGTTAAAACTTATTTACACCTCAGAGTAAAATGGCAGGCATTTCTCCAAATGAAATGGGACTGAAGTTCCCAGAAACAAGATAAACTATCTATAGTATTTAGAGTTTGGTAATATTGTTGAAATCTCTGGACTAAGCTTGAATGTCTATCATATTTTAATGTAACCCTCTTGAATTGTATAAATTGTTCTTAATTCCTGAGCAAAGAGTAAACATGACAATTTATGATCGATTGCACAGGTAGCCTGGATTTGGCATTTCTGACCACCTTTCAAGTTCTTCCCAAGGACCTGGGATAGGCAGATGTGGATGTTTGATTGTGTTGCATATATTGTTGCAGGATGTATGTTGTTCCAAGTAAAGCTGCTTTTTGCAATTGACTGATGATGAATTTATCAGTGCTGATGGTGTTCAAATGGTGTTCCAGTTGTTTTGGGATTGCATCTGTTACTATTGGTACTACCTTTGCTTTCTTTTGCCATAGTTGTTCTATTATTATTTTGTTGATTATTTAGTTTAGTTTACTTATTATTTGCAAACAATATTTTTTTAAATCTCTTGGAAAACTATAGATTGAGAGTACAAACATATTTG